GGCGTGAGGTAACTAAGGAATCCGATGGCATCAGCAACACCGTCTTGATCGATGTGCTGAACATTTCGAGGTTCAGGTCAGCTGACCCCCATCCACACCTGACCTATCACCCCCACCTCAACTGGGCAAATACTTCCAGTTGATGACAGCCCTCTATCTGAAATGGAGGTTTCTCGAGAAATAAGTTGTCTCAAGAGGCATCAGACCTCCAGCCCAGATGGACTGTTCCCATTGGCTTTTAAGGATGGAGGCTCAGCGTTAGTTTTGGAGTTGACGAAACTCTTGGGCTTAATATGGAAGGAAACAGGTTCACACTAAATGATGTTAATCGGTCATCTTACCGATTCACGAAAAAGGTAACAGCTCCTCTTGTGAAAACCACAGGAGAATTAGTTTAATCAACATTGCCTGTTAACTTCTCGCTGGGATGATACTCGGTCGATTGTCTTGCGCACGTGAAGAATGCGCGTGAGAATCAGAAAACGGTGTTCATCAGGATTGCTCTCTCTCTCTGTTTCTATTTTACTTTGTTATAAATCCGATTATGGAAACAGCTCAATCCTTGTGCGAGGATAGTGGCATCGATTTGCTCCTAGATGGTAGACTGTCTGATCTGGAGTATGCTGACGACACTGTGCTGCCAGGTAAAGGTATAGGTAAGTTGTAAGCTTTTTTGTAAAGCTTGAGTGCCAGCGAAGCCATGTTCGGGATGCGTATTACACCTTCAAAGTGCACAATGTTGCCACAAAATTGAGTTGGTCCAGCACCCAGCCTTATTTCCACAAGGGAAGTAATAGACCAAGTGGATAGATTTTGTTATCTGGGCAGCTATATCTCACCCGGTGGATGCATCACGAATGAAATGTCCGCTCGTGTACAGAAGGCTCTATTGACATTTACCAACTTGAGACATCTGTGACGCCGTCGCGACACCCAGCTGTCCGTGAAGGGTCCAGTGTATGCTGCAGCAATTCGGCTAGTTCTGCTATACAGCGTAGAAACTTGGCCATTAGGAAAACAAGATAAAGATGGATTGTCGGTGTTCGAACATCGCTGATTACGCAGCATTGCACGAATCTGGTGGGGCAACCGGGCAAGCAATGTTGAGGTTAGACGGAGAGTTTAAGGTAATCGCTGTCGTCCATTGGAACAACTGGTCGACCTCCAAAGACTACGTTAGTTGAGGCATGTGTCACGCATGTCATCAAATAGGTTTGCCACGGGGCGCGATGTTTACCGAGGCAGGCAGCGGATTGAAAACCGTCAAGTGCGGTCCAACTGAGACCTGACATGAGGGGAAGAAGGCCTTAACCAGGACACTGCATCACATAGGTACAGTTGGGCTAACTGGATGGAGACCCTGAGATCATATTACCCCGTGGTTAGAAACATTGAGTGATATGACTAGCCGAAGGCTCCGGTTGTGGATTCCTCAGGAAAATTCACCTGCCTTGGCCTGAGCAACCTGGCAGTACTCAGCCCACAAGCCAATCATGGAACATTTTCTTTTCTATAAAGATTATTTTAACATGATTTGTTTGGCACACAGTCTGTCCTCAGACAAGTGTGAAATAGAATATAATAATATATGGCTGAGTGTCGAAAACAGTGGCGCTCGTGCATCTCAATTTCTTTGCAACCTTAGTCCGCTGAAATTTTCTATTTTATCTTCGGCTCTGATTTCAACTTTCCTGTCCCCCTCCTACTGCTTGATCCAAATGGGCAGCCAAAAGACTGCAATTAAAACCGGCGCACAAAGGAGCATGGTTAATGGCTGTACAAACCGAAACTAAAATTTGTTTGACAACGAATCGCTGAAAAAGAGCTTTTTGCCACTGTGTTTCGTTTAACATGTGCATCGTGGGACAATTCGGACGATAAAAGCAGGCCATAGTTGTGTTGGCATAGTCGCTATCACCGGTATGCTTTGGACCCTATAGCCCGAGGTTCGGGCCCCGCCACCACCACCCAACTTTCGTGTGAGGTAGCTTTATTGTCGTCCGGTTCAGGATCACGCCTAACCAAGTGGGGCACTCACTGCCCTCTCGTGGCGGTGTTCATCCACCAAAGTGAGAGGACGAAACGCTGACATCCGGGGCTATAACTGGTTTGGTGGACCATTGGTAGTCCACCTAGGGGAGTTGGCCAAAACCTTGATTCCAAACCAACAAAGAGGTGTGCGAACCACACATCTTCCTGGTTGTGGCGACAGTCACCAGCTTAATTGGGCATCGAGGTACATTGGGCACCTTGAGCGCCTGACCCCGTCCAAAGGGTGTATAATCTGATGAACTGGGCACCGGCCCAAAATGCACTGCAGTTTCCACACACCGCCCCGCTATCTTGTAGGTCAGGCTTTGGTTAACCAGAGGCTCCGGTTGTGTATTCCCCGGCGAAATTTACTTGGTTTGGCCTAGGTAATCTAGAAGTATCGTGCCCTCGGTCAAATCATGGAACACTTTTCTTTTTTATACAAATTATTGTACCATGATTTGTTCGGCACAGTCTGGCCTCATACGTGTGTGAAATATACAAAAATAAGCTGAGTCTTATGTCTCGGAGGAGCAGAGCTGTATGCTACCGAGCGCGTCTCCAGGTCGCGGATAGGGGAACGGCCGCCAT